CTCATCAATAAAAGGTCCTGATCAGGTTTGATATTGTCGGACAGTTCGGAGGGGATCACAGATTGATGTTATTTATGATTCTTAGTTGGACGCGGTCTATGGTCTGATAGTTTAATGAGCTGATCGATCAGCTTGGATCGCTTGTGTTTTGTGGTCCCTCCAGGATGCTCCAGGGGCGTTACGGCAGCTGGACGGACCGGCCCCTGATCCGCTCCAGTTCACCGGCTTTCGCTGTGGAGTTCTGCTCCTCTCTTTTCGACCCGGTCAGCAACTGTCTTCGACACCCAGGGAACAATGTCACTTGCATAGTGCAGCAGTCCCACCAGGGAAAGTGGTGAAAGATGGTCATTCGAGGTTCGTCTTATCCCACCCAATTATCCACATCCCGTCGGTTCTGTCTTCACGTTTATTCAGCCACTATACACCTTTTTTTTTTATCTCCCTATTATTACTTAATTCTTACACATTCATCCACATCAAACTTTACCTAGAAACCCCATAGTTTTTTATTTCTCACATTTTTATTTTTAATAATTCAATCATTGTGTTTTTATTATTTGCTTTCTCTCCCTCTAATTTTTTAAATTTATTCTCTCTTTATTAACTTTAATTCTTCATTCATTCAAATCCTCAATTCATAATACAAAATGTCCTATTACTTATCATTACTTTTTCTTCCCCATTCTTGGGTTTCACGGAACCCTGTTTTACCAATCACTGAGAAAATGACACAGACAAGGGAAAAGAGATTTTATTTACAGGGTGCTCTTTCAATTAAGAATATAATGATAGTTTATCGAAAATGATGTATGCAATAAACTGGAGAAAACTACAGTGAATTAGAAAGAATTAAAAGTGAAAGAAAAAATCATCAATGTTACATATAATAAATCTAGATTAAGACATTTGAGCTGCTGTACTGTAATAGCTGCTTTTGACTCTTGTAGACAGCTCAAACTTAGCGCGCAGCTGTGATGCAGAGTCTAGTGAATCAGATAGTTGTAGAGGCTTTACATACCTTGAAAGACAGCCTTTACCTTTGTATGAAAACAGCTTTACCCTCCAATATTGTTATTGAATGATGTAAGAGGCAACAAACTTCCGAGAAATAGGAGTCAACATAGTTGGCATGCTGAATATAAGTAAATGAATTGCCTTGGTGGTGATCAGGTTACATGCAAACCAGTATATAAGAAAAGGTAAAGAATATAATTACATAATTAATTAATCTATAAGGGTTATAGTTAGTTAGTGAAGAGTCAAGTGTGCTTCTCAGTGTTATTGTTAACGCTTTACCTGTATGACATCCAGAGAGGCTGAACTGACGGTTGGAACATAGTGAGCGAAGACCGCCAGGCAGCCCAGCGCTCTGAAGAAAAATTCGCGCGGAAAGCTGACACCAGGCAAACAATCGCACGAGAAAGAGAAAAAATAAATTTAGAATTCACTACCATGTGAAATGAGTCTTTCCATATTTTGCCAAGAAGAATGTTGGCAGCGAGCACATTTTTTATGCAATTACTGTAATATAACACATACGCGACCTTTGATGGAGAACTGAAAGTGACGTGACATTTTGTATGACTAACTGGCGCGTCGAACACAGCACGCAGTTACTTCCTTGCAGTGCTACGGGTCATATGAGCATGAATGGCGACTGTGTTGATTATATAACGTAATACATGAACAAGGAGAAAGCAGGATACAGATAGCCCGCCGGCGTCTCCAAATGAGGAGAAGACATCCCCTACCCTTGCAGACCCCTGTCTACTCACCATGCAGTAAGCTATGCAGGCGGGAGCAAAAATAAAACACTAAACAACATAAACCAATATGCTGGACAAATTATGTTCACTTTCATACGTCCCACACACACAAAGATTTGTGGCAAATGGGCTTGTGGTGTAGAGATTTCAAATAACGGTATGAGAGAACCGCATAGCAGATTCAACTGCAGAAAAACCAGCCTGTTGTAGGTGTGTTGTGTGCCCTGTGTGTTGTGTGTGTGTTGCGTGAAGACAGACAGAGAGAGATTGCATGAGAGAAAGGAGAGAGAGTTTTTAGCGGGCCAAAATTCAATTTTAACACTGGAGCAGGACTATCTGTTGAAACCCAATGAAGGCAGCAGAAAATACTGCTGCTCTGCTGATCCGATCAGAGAGCTCATTAACACTCTGGCAGCTGACAGATATGGTCCTAGCAGCCGGGTGGATCGCCTCGCTTGCAGCCGGCCGCTGCCAGGGCACATCGCGCGAAGACGGTGGAATGGATAAGAGAGTAGGCCGAGGGATAGTTGGGAGATAGCTGAAACAGTAACGTTGTCCGTCAAATAGTTACTGATCCATATATATTGATTACCAATCTCAGCAGGTTCTGATCATCGGCAATTATAACACAGCTCAGGTAAAAAGTACAAGGCTATACTGTGAACACGGACTGGATATAGGTTTTCTGATACAGTGTATTCTGATCAATATCAACCCATAATGAGGAAGACAACGGGAGAGAGCACCATTTTGCCTCTGATCTGGCCGTTTGTCAGCGATCTCCCAGTCTAGTCAGTGAGTGGGAATCGAACCGGCAACCTTCTGAATACTGAACGCTGCCTGATTATTTTTCCATAAAGGAGCTCGGAGGAGGTCCAGTTGGTTCTCTCTCCAGTGGGCAGCGACAGTCGGGCCACAGTTTCACTTCAACCAGATGTTTTGCTTGCAGGAAGTCATCAAACCTGTTGGGAGGGATGAT